CCATCGAGCAGCCAGCGACCACCCCCTTGCGAGCGAAGTAAGGGCCGTCGACGCAGCCTCCTAGACACATGAATCGACCGCAACGGTAAGCATACAGGCACACGCGGGCAATGACGAGGGGAAAGCCGCGAGCCCTACACCGATCTTCCAAGGACTCCAAAGAAGTGTGCTCATAAAATTTGGACATGTCAAAGAAGACGCTGCAAGAGGCTTCGCCTTTAGTGACCCCACTCTCGGCAAGGATCGCTTGTCTCCAGACAACGTCGGCCGCCCCTCGAAACTTGCCAGCAGCCCAGTACCGTTTCAGGCTTCAAGCTCCCAGCGCAGGGCGAGAGGGCGTCGACAATGACCCCAAACCATGGACTAGGAGCAGAACACCCCAATCGGCCTGTAACCACCGGCAGGTTTCGGGAGCAGCACGAGCAGAACAAGAGAAATTTGGGGAGGCAGGCAACCCGCGGCCTCCATCACGAAAAAAATACTGCTGAGGTAAGCGAGCGCAGCACGAAAAGTGACGACAGTGGACGCCGTCCACGCTTACAGCCGAAGCGCGGCGGTAGCTGCGCGAAACTTCACGAATCTCCTGAGGTGAGAGGCGGGGAAGAGGTTCCACAAGTACCCCGCTCGGAAAAGACCCCAATCCAGACTCCCGAAGACCCGCAAACCTCCGACCTTCCTGTTTCAGAAGAGACAGCGGGTCGGCAACGACGCAGCCATTAGCGGCGAGAGTCGTGCTGGCCACCCAGGGGGACGGGTCCTTCAGGAGTTCACGCACGCGTTTAGCCCCTTGATCGAGCCCGACGTGCAACCAAGAAGACCAGTCGTTGCGGCTCTTGGCAGTAAACGTCTGGTCGGCGGCCTGGACGGCCTCGAAGACCTCAGTGAGCACGGGCGCGAGGCCATCTACATCTACGCTCGCCACCGCGGTCGCCACCCGCGAGAAAAGCGGAGCGCAGTCGGCGGAAGCCCCCACGATGCTGAACGGAGGGTTCTGCGGCACCTTGCGGAGACGAACAGAAGATGGGGAGGCAGCAGAACCTCTGCTCGAGTTAATGTACCTTCTGAGTTGCTGATGAAGCCATCTGATCGATCTGCGGGCAGGGTAGCGCACCTGCCCATCCCCATGCAGAATGCTGCGCCACGCGAGCTGAGTCCCAGCGCCTCGGGAGCCAAAGATAGTCGGGGCGTCGCCAATGAGCGGAACCAGGTCTCTCTCAGCCTTGCTGGCCCAAGCTTGGTAGAGGGGCCCCAGGGCGTCGAAAGCAAACCAAAAATCACCTCGCTCCACCGACGCCACAGCAGAATGGATCACGTCCAGCTCCAGGCCCCAACACGAGCCCTCCGGATCGGGGCCGAAGACTTTCGCAGCAGGGATGGGGGGCGGCCTCTTGAAGGACAGAGCTTGCAGCACAGCCAGACAAGGATGAAAGGTCACCTGAACAGGACGGTGCGGGGAGAGCTCGGTGCCAAGTAACGCTTCAACCTTAGGAGCGCCTTTCGCAAGCCCCCCCGAGTAGACGAAGTAATCAAAAGTGGTGGGAGGGCCCGCTGGATAGCGCGTGCAAACTGAGGGCGCAACAAGGGAGCCTCGGACCTGCCCGACGAAATTCGCAGCTTCCAGCTCGCGGGGCTCGAAATTGAAGTCCGCCCCCAACAACCAAGGCGTATGAATGCTATCCATGGCTTCTCCGACCTTGGCCAAAATGCGGAGATTGGCATCAGACAGCCCTTCCGAATGGTGGAAACAGGCCGAGGCCATGCAAATGGGAGCCGCGCCAGGCAATTCGATCTTACAACCAACCAGCCTGCCAGGCAGCGAAAGTTCAGCAACCGGCACAACTCCAAGCCAGCTCCTAGCGAAGATGGCCACCCCCGAAGAAGTATCGTCGTCAGCCGTGGCCAAAGCGGGGGTCCAGACAGACTCCCAACCACGGCGGATGGACCAGGCGCAAGCCTTCTCGATATCGGCTTCTGCTCGAAGGCGGTGCTCTTGACAAAGGATGACGTGAGCTTTCGCGCCCACGAGCATGTCCTGAAGCCGACCCCAAGAGTTCCCGTTGATGGTCTGAACTTGGAGAGACACGCTACCAAGGTGAGGAGCGAGAGGGGGCGGAGAGCTGCTGCCTGACTCGCCAGGGCATGGAAGCTGAGCACCCGGACGCGAGTCCGAAACCTCAGCGACTGAAGCAGACAAAGGAGATTGCATCGGGATGCGGATGCAACTGCACCTGCGCCCAGGCTTCCCCAAGGACATCACGGGATAAAACGGCGCTGGCTGCATTCAAGCGACCGCCGCCTGAGATGCCAGACGCGAGGCGCAGCGCGCCAGCTGATCCGAATAATTTAGTCGCAACGAAGTGTGGCCCGAGCGGGCCCTTAATGCAACGCAGGGTGGCCCAGGCGGGCCCTCGCTAGCGCCATGCGTCTGCAGTGATTGCGCGTCGGGCGTTCCGACCTGCGCAGCAATCAGACAAAGAGAGCGAGCGAGAAGCCGTCGTCGGCGAGTTCGCTGCGATGTCCTGCTCAAATGACTTGCGCCAGAGAAGCGTGAGCAAGCTACCTCGAGCCCTCTGCGCACCAGAGACTAGCACGAGCAGAGGAGAAACAAGGAAAAAAACATAGAAGCCTTGTTTCCCCCCTGGAAGCGATCCTGCATCCGAAGAAACCTACAGCCCTGGAAGCGCTCAAAAGATGAGCGAAGGACGCGGAGGAGCCGCTGAGCAGCCACAAAAGCCGCCTCAGGCCTTGGAGCCTCCAGGGGGGGACGAATTGGGTGCGCTACCGATGATGGCATCCGCTCGCGAAGCCACGTCGGAAGAACTTGAGGCAGCACCTGCATCAGGGACTCCGGCGGCAGCACCGACTGGCGCGGCTTGGCCCTCGGGCGGTTAAGCCCGCTCTGCCAGCCGCCGCCGCTCCTCCGCCAACTGCCGAACCATCGCCGGTCCGCTGTTTCTTGGCCGCCAGCCGCTTGGCGTGCTCTGCGTGCCCCTTGCGAATCGCCTCCACCTTCGAGCGAGCCTCCGCAAACAAGGACTTTGCCAGCGCGCCGAAGCCCGACTTGAACTTCTCCATCCGCTCGCTGATCTCGGCCTGATCATTCTCATCCAGCACTGCGTCCTCGTCGATGCACAGCGAGGACGCGTCGACGCCGCCGAAGAGCTCAGCCAGCCGCTCCTCATCCAAGAGCGTGTCCAAGGACAGTTTGCCAGAAGCAGGCGGCGGAACCTCCTGACCAGCTGACTGTTCCTTGTGCAGCTGCGCCACCAAGTCCGCGTGCACCGACTGAGTCTCCAGCATCTCCTGGCGGAGCTTGGTGATCGTCGCGCGCTGCTCCTCCAACTGAGACTGCAACGTCTCAAAGCGAGTGCACGCGGCGCCCAGCTTCTTCTCGATGCCCATTGCATCTTTGTGCGCCTTGGCCAAACACACGTGCGACGACGCAGGCGCCCGAGCAGGCTGTCGAAGGGCCGCCGCCGCCGCGCGATGAGCTGAAGCCGCAGCTTTGTCACGCATCTTGTCGCAGAGCGATGCCAACTGTTCATACTCGTCGGCTGTGAGCAAAGGGCCAGTAACTGGCGCGCCCGCGCCAGCTTTGCCCTCTCCTTGGCCGCCGCCCTTGGCGTCTGCGGCGGCGCCGCCCTTCCCAGGGAAGAGAGCCAGCGCTGAACCTTGGGACTGCTCCATGCAAGCGTCGGCCTTGAGCGCGCCGCAGAGCTTGCAGAAGTAGAGCCGAGCCTCGCTGCGCCGACAACCGTACCAACCACATGACCAGCGCGGGCTGCGAGAGCCGCCTTTGCCCCCTGTCCACCCTGGCTGCAGCCCAGGCTTGAGAGGGGGCCAAGCAACGCCAGCGCCGCTGCCACCAACATGAGTCGTAGTAGACCCCTGCGAGGGTGGTGAAGACGACCAGTGCGCGTGCCACGGAGTCCATGAAACCCGCCCTTTGCCGCCGCCGCCACCGCCAGGGCCACTGCCGCCCGCCATGACTCGAACGTGGCTCCTGATGCCCAGCGGGGCTGGGAGGAGTCGAAGACTGAGGGTTGAGATCCTTCGAATTGCGCGGGGATGAAAGCCAGAATGACCCGCAACAGCAAGTGGCCGTTCTGAAGTAGTTTGTTGTTGCAAGCCCAGGACGATGCCTGAGCCAGAACGGTTGAAAAAAAGACAATGCGCTGGAGGATCCCGACAAAGCGGAAGCCCGAAAATGAGGCCACCGCTGCAGCGGGAGCAAGAATTTTGGAAGAACCGAACACAATCGGATTGAAAAACACATATGAGCAAAAACAAACAACCCTGGGAGATAATCGCATCCTGTGTGTAAAAACACCATATGCGGAAGAGGGCTTCTGCACCTTGGACGCCATCGGAGGAGAGAGGAGAGTCGTATTCATATGAAGTAATTGTGGAGGAGGAGGAGGTGGAGCAGGAGGAAGAAGAGGAGAAGGAGGAGGAGCAGGAGGAGGAGGAGGAGGGGAAGGAGGAGGATGAGGAGGGGAAGGAGGTGGAGAGAATACGGAGGAGCGAGGATAAAAAATGAGAAAAAAACATGGGGAGGAAGGAGCAACAGAAGGAGGAGGAAAAGGAGGAGGAGGAAAAGGAGAGGAGCAGCGAGGACCGAGGAGGAGGAGGAGGGAAGGAGGAGGACGAGGAGGAGGAGGAAAGGAGGAGAGGAGGAAGATGAGGCAGGAGAGAGGAGGAGAGAAGGTGAGGAAAATAGTGGGAGGAGGAGGAGGAAGAGGAGGAGTGGAGGGGGAGGAGTGAGAAGGAGGAGGAGGAGGAGGCAGCGAGGAGGGAGAGGAGGAGGAGCAGGAGGAGGAGGAGGAGGAGGAGGCGGCAGGAGGGGAAAAGGAGGAGCGAGGAGGAGGAGGCGGGGGGAGGAGGAGGAGGAGGAGGAGGAGGAGGAGGAGGTAGGAGGCAGGAGGCAAGGAGGAGGGAGAGGAGGAGGAGGAGGAGGAGGGGGGGGATGGGGAGAGGAGGGAGAGTGAGAGGGGCAGGAGGAGGAGGAGGAGGAGAAGGAGTTTGTGCGAATCGTCTAGCTCGAAGTTGCAGGTTGTTCGCTGCTCCGCGCCAGAGTCCCCTGCTTCGTGAATGTTTTCCTGCGCGCTGGAGGCCCGAGGCCCCGGCTGCGTGGATAGTTTTTTGGTTCTCCAGTCTCCCTTGACCGACGAGCTGAAGTCACTTGGAAGGAAACACCACTCTCCCAAGGATTCCTCCTCCTCGTCCGTCCTTTTCATCCTCCTCCTCCTCCTCCTCCTCCTCCTCCTCTTCCGCCTCTTCGTCCAGCTGCTGTTGCTGCTGCTGCTGCTGCTGCTCCTCCTCCTCCTCCTCCTGCTGTTGCTGCTCCTCCTCCTCCTCTTCCTCCTCCTCCTCCCTTTCCTCCTCCCCACAGTTACTCAATATGAATGCTCTCCTCTCTCCCCTGTTGGCGTGCTGGGAGGGGCAGAAAATAGCAGGCACCCCTCCGCGTATTCTTTTTGTCCACAGGATTGGCAGGAATTTCACCGAGTTTCAATAACTTTAAGGGTGGCTCTTTGGGAGATGTTACAGTATCGGGAGCATAGCTCGCGCGCCGCTGCCTTTGGCTCAAGGCACGCGCGCCCTATTTGCCCGGACACCGCGAGTGTTCGTTATGTGCTGGAATGATCATTACATCGATATTATCCTATCTTATCCGCCCACCCCTCATACTGTACCTTCACAGCTACAGCAGAGCGATGGACGCTATTTGCCATCCGATGTCCACGGTCAGCGCCTTGGAATCGGATGCTATATGACAGGCTATATGCCCTATTTGAGTTACCAAGCTCACTTTCGACTTGGTAGCGGAGCTGGCCGCACTCTCGTGTGGTCAGCTCTTGCTCTTCTCAGCCTCACATTCTTCGGCACGATCTTCGTGACCACCTACTACCCTGCGCCACCACTCCCAGTACATTTACGAGGATCTATTCAAGAGCAAGAAGCTACACGAGAGGTACGACGTCTAGACGACCAGATTGGTACCATATACGCTTCATCATTGCGTTACTATCAACCGCTCGGCAACGAGCCAATAACGCAATACCTGAAGCAAGGGCGGGGAAACCCGCCAGACAGAGCGCCTCGAAGACTCGACAAGGCGCTACCCCAGCGTGACACCGCTCATCATAACCATTCTTCGTTACACATTTTTGGGCTAATCGTTTTCGCTATCATATGGTTCGCGCTGGGGGCAGCAATCGCACACATGCGTCGGGGAGATAACAGCACCGATGGGCAAACACATGGCCCATACTGGGACCCTCAGGGTAATGTACCTTTTCGTGAGTACACTTACGAGGTCAACGCGTGGCTCAACGTTACAAGCGGACGTATGACGCCACAGGCCCAAGCGGCCGCAATACAACGCGGCCTGGGAGGCCTAGCGAGGACACTCGCCATGAGGGTACCGCCTGACATTATAAACTATGGTGTTGACATTGATGGGGTCCACACGGACCCAGTAACTTACATCATGTTCCTCCTCAGCATGAAGTTCGAACGCCTGGAAGATGAGCGACAGCTCACTTCCGGCACACAACTCATCGACTTCCATGTGCCTCACGGGGAACGAATCGATGTCACTCTTCCCCGATTCGAAATGGCCCGACTTGAGGCACAGTCGGTGGGATTCGACCTTCCTAACTTCCAACTGCTAACTACTATCCTATTCCGCGCCTTAGGCGTCGGCAACCAGAAAGCCATGCAACTCTTGCAGCCACTCAACCACCAAATGCCTCGAACACAACGACAATATGATGAGTTGCTGGAAAGGATGCGTTCGGTAGGTCACCTATCCGAACGATCCCCTGGCAACATAGGATCCGTGTTTGGAAGAGGAAGGGGATCTGGTAGTGGAAATTTCTACACTACCTTGACTACTGAAGTCCAGCCTGGAAACGGGCCCTCAAACATATGGGCCGATGACCCAGGAGAATCCACTGCTTCATTAGCAGGGGATCGATCACAACCAAGCTGGGCCACCAGCCCTCCTTCTAGAGAACCACAATCACACCGCTCGTTATGGGGGGAATCAAATCCCCTAACCGACGGTGTATCCACCTATTTAGGAGGCGAAGATTTCGACTCCGGCACCGACACAGACACTATATCATCAGATGGTGTTGAAGCTCTAGATTGGTCAGATATCATGAATATGGATAACGACAATCAGCGTGCTGAGCATTTATTCTGGCTGTTACAACAGGCTAAGCGAAGGTGGAGGAGGTTCACACGAAAACCAGTGCGTCGGGTTAGAAGGAGGATACGCAGAAGTTTTAAAGGAAAGGGTAAAGGCAAGCGTGGTCGTCGGAGGTTGAACGGGCGAGGTATCGCGGCATTTCTCCAGAGGCTCTCAGATGAACAACATGATGAGATATTCTTTGGGGGAAAAAGGCCGCGGTAAAGGCCGTGGAGAGACCTCAGGAAAAGGCAAAGGTAGGCGGGGAAACCCGCGAGGTAGAGACGGCCAGGTTCTCAAATGTCATGAGTGTGGTAGTACCGATCATCTTGTGCGAGATTGTCCAGCGAAGGGAAATGGAAAGGGCATGTCGTCCGAAGTCCATTTCGGCTCAAGCACACCATCCATTGAGTATCTGAGCCTCCAGGGCTTTGAGGCTATGGAACAGATATTTTTCACATGGGTCGTTGGCATGGACAACATTGACGAGCTCGAGGGGTATGGTCATGGATTATACGCGTATTACCTCGAGTACGTCCGCCGGTTCGTCACGGGCAGTAATGACCTCACCCCCGTGGAACACGGTACGCTCGGAAACGAGCCTCTTTCCTTCTTCGACTGGATGTTCGGGAACCCAGGCAACATCATGGCCTGCGAGAGCGACGACGAGGACACCACTATAGAGGCTTCGCCTTCCGAGGTTCAACGGAACCTCGAACCTCCGCCCGAAATCCCGCCTGGACACAGGCCTTTTCTGCTGGGAGAATATCCCCATACTATTGAAGACTTAATTGAAATGGAGTCTCAAGCATTTGTTCAGGCCTTCATTGCAGGTGAACCAGGTTCTCCGTTCATACCTCCTGGTGCGCTTGCTCCAGGCGAATATGGGCCGCGTACACTATTGCAGACCCTCATGTGGATGCATGAGATACTTGCAATTGCATATCCTGAGAGTCAAGAGCAAATTGAAGCTGGTATTATGACAGATAATGATAATGATGCTTGCGGTAGCTCAGAGCTACTCTTGGCAGCTTTGTCTCTCATTGACAGTGTAAATCCTCAGTATAAATCCTCAGGAAGTGCAACGACACTTAGTATACTCCCATGGTAGATGGCGTCGTGCCCTGGAAATGGCAATGGCCATGCGTGGTCATGATCTTCCCCCGCCAGGATGGAATCTCCAGGAGCTGGGGATGAGGCCAAACCAAACGGCCATGCGTAACATTGCTAGGCAGCCTATGCTCGTCGATGACCCTGAGCCGACGACTGTGCCTCCTACTCCAGGACAGCCGAGCGTTGCCCAGACGCCGGTCATGCAGGGAAACCTGCCTTTACCAGATGCGCCAATGGCCATCATAATTGGTAGTTCGACATCAGAAGAAGTAGAAGGCGATGGTTGTGGGTTAGATGAGGATGACGTCACCATCCTCATGATGGACGTGACTGGTGAGGAAGAGGTCGATTTCGACCCTGATGAGTCTGAACCATCATCACCATCGGCACAAGAACCACTTGCGCCGAGCTCCACCCAGCAGGGAGACCTGCCTCCATCGAGCGATCCACCCGGGATCGCAGAGGAGCCTCCTCAAGCACCTCCAACGGGTGCCGCTCCTGCTGCATCAGCAGCCTCTTCTGATGAGAACACCAGAAGATCTCGTTTCCATACGCGCGTCAGAGGAGAGCCACATCCTCAGGCTCGACTCCCTCGTGATTGGAGACAGGCTGGCCCAAAGGAACACGCTGCCAGAAGAGGTGGCCAGCTACTTCCATATAACGACCCACGACGCCGAAAAGGGGAACACTCGGCCTTCGGCCAGGGCAATCCTGCCTATAGGGACGGCGATGGCAGACCCATCCGTGGAGGCTATCAGCTTGCAACAAACATCCGCCGCCCTGAAATTCAAGAAGCGCGGACCAGTTGCGAGATATTATCGCGGCTCGCAAGCAGTATAGGCCTCACGCTGCATGTGGTCCTTGTTCCCAGCCGTTCCAGAATCACAGGCCAGGATGCCCCGTTGGAAACAACGAAGGCCTGAGCCCCAACAGGGGCAAAACCCCTCCTAAGGAGGGCCATCCGCCACTTGACCCGATGACACCGGAAGAGATCGCAGCAGTGAATAGTCGTCTCGGGATCTTGGGCCACTTGGATCCGGAAGAAGAAGAGGAACCTACTCCGGCTCCAAGGGGAATGGTAGCCATGACCCAGGAAGAGAAAGACGCGCTCTTTAGTCTTCCTGGTGTGCGAGGAAACTCGCCTGGCGTATCTAGCCAGTCCCAACAACCAGAGCCGATCATCAAGGACGAGACAAAGGCTCAACGTGTGGCGGAAGATGAGGAGCGTATTCAGACAGTAGATGAACGCACACGCGAGGCAACTCGCAAGATGCTGGAGGATTCCAGCGAGCTCTACATGAAGGGGGCTAGGAAGCCCCCACTCCCACTCACTTCGAAGGCCAAGAGTGAACCCCCGACACCTAAGCCGCCTCCGGCGCCGAAACGCACAGCTCCTATACCAGCATCTGTGCCCAAGCAGCAACCCCAGGACCCCACTGAGGAACGAAGACGTTCGCTTAGCCGCAGCAAGTCCATTGCGGAACGGGCGGCAGCTTTCGAGCGCAGTGAGTATGCACCTGCGCCAGCTTCGCCTGTGGCGGCTCGTTCCAGGAGGTCCGATGAAGGTGCTATGTCGAGGGGTAACTGGGTGCCGAAGATCAGGGGCAGCGCCGGTCGCGCATCTCCGCGGGGAAACCCGCCAGGCGCTGCTGCCGCAGCTTCCTCCTCTTCAGGAGCCGCAGCCTCTTCAGCAACAGAGGCTCCGATGCGGGGAAACCCGCCAGCAGTTCAGCTGCACCACCCAGGAGACACATCCTTCACTAGTGGGGCTCCAGATCTGATCAGGGATAGACTGGCACTTCGGAAGCTCCCACCGATACGTTCGGTGGATGAGCCATTCATGAAGGAATGCAGGAAGGCCGGTATTCTTCCCAGATCCAATGATACTCTTAAAAGGTTAAGCAAAGCTATCAGCAGGATATGTAGACATGCGCCAGATAAGCCACATAAT